CTTTGTGTACACGGGAGTTCTCTCCCTTTTGATTAATACAATTTACCTTATCAAAAAAAAGAAAAAGATATAACGATGAAGTGACTATTGTTTGAATTCCTTGTGCTTCAGAGGTTTTGACCAAGGAAAACATTGTGGAACCTATGAGAGACATCAGGAGGGCTCTTTTGGAAGCTGATGTATGTCACTCTATATTTTAGCAGCTGATCTCTATACAACAAATTTTGCCTCTCATTTAACTTTAATTGGCAGGTTAGTCTCCCTGTTGTCAGAAGGTTTGTTCAGTCTGTTAGTGACGAAGCCGTGGGGACTGGCTTGATTCGAGGAGTAAGACCAGATCAGCAACTAGTTAAAGTATGTATTATCGGACTGATGACTTTGAACAATACACCTATGGGTAGAAGCATTTTGTAGCAGGAAAAAGTTAAATATTTCTGGTCCTCAATATGCATCCGAATTGTCTTGCAAAGATCTTAATTTTAGCCTGCACATGGAAACTCATGTAATGACTTATGCATACAGGTGTTGGATTTCTGAAGAGATGTTTAGTGATAACTAGATATTGATTTTTGTCTTAATCGGTTCCTTCTGCTTTACTTCCTGTTCCTTTCATATGGGAGGGAAAATCCTATCTTTCTTGCTAGCATTTTTAGTTTGTAACCAGACTGCCTCCCTTCTGTTGTTAATTTAATTTTGCTTGCACAATTGGGTATCAGCTCGAGCTGAACTTTTTCTCTGTATCATTTGGTTGGTATAGATTGTACGAGACGAGCTTGTGAAACTGATGGGTGGAGAGGTCTCTGAACTGGTATTTGCTAAATCTGGACCCACCATAATACTATTGGCCGGTCTACAAGGTGTTGGAAAGACAACTGTTAGCGCAAAGTTAGCTTTATATCTAAAGAAGCAGGTGCACTTCCAATCTTCACCTTCTGTTGACCCCGTCCTGGCCTTCCTTCCCCAACTCTCTCATGCTATTACCACTTACGTATATGGTCGTAGAACACCTGCATTTCTCCAACTACCTTCTAATATTAAAGTTTGCAGGGTAAGAGTTGCATGCTGATTGCTGGAGACGTGTATAGACCTGCTGCTATTGACCAACTTGTTATTTTGGGTGAACAGGTAGGCCATGTCACTTTAGCAACAATAAGATTGTATGTCATTTCATTGTAGATGCTTTTTTCCGTTCTTCTACACTAACAATCTTCACCTATAAATCATTTTCTTTACAAGGACGCAGAATATCTAAACGCAATATTATTCATTCTCATGTTCACTGATAAGTGGGGAACAGGTTGATGTGCCTGTTTATGCAGCAGGAACAGACGTAAAACCTGCAGAAATAGCCCGTCAAGGATTAGAAGAGGCCAAAAGAAAGAATGTAGATGTAGTCATAATGGATACAGCTGGACGACTTCAGGTCATATCATCTTAGTTTTTGGATTCCGCTACAACTTTCTCTGTATTTAAGTCTTTATTAAAACTTGTAGATAGATAAAGCTATGATGGATGAATTAAAAGAGGTGAAACGGGTACTGAACCCCACAGAGGTTTTGCTTGTTGTGGATGCAATGACTGGCCAAGAAGCTGCAGGTACTTCTACGCTCGTTAAACATGCGAACGATCAAGTACATAAAATTTTTTTATCACATAATCTCAAAATCTTAAGCTCCTTATAGCTTTCGGTAAACTGGAAAAATATGCTCTCCATCAAATTTTTTCTATGCAGCTGGTTGTTATATAGAACTTTTACCTTAGATATATATTCATTCACCAGCTCTTCTTGACTGTAAGATCTGACTAAAAGTGTCACTACTTCGAAGATATTGGTATATTGTCAGATAATGAATTCATATATCCTGGGCCAAACACGTGTCATCAGTTCATGGCTTTTTTACAGTGTTTAGCTTTGCGAAAAATGGCTTTTGAGTAGTGGTCATGTGACTTATCACATATTTTCTTTCTGTGTGGCTTCTGTTATACTTTGTTGACTGTGTCAATTGTAATTCCGTATCTACAAGTAGGGTTCGCTAATCTTTATGCTTCGTGATGATATCATTGAGGGATGTCTCTTTTTCCTTAACAATGGACATTCAAGTATATATTGCCAAAGCAGTGTGTCTTATCATGCATGATTTTTTATGCATATAGCAGCAACTTCAAACTTACTGAAATCATGGCCTCCGCCACCTGCAATAGCACTCCCAACTTTTCCTCTTCAGCCACCTCGCGGCAACCAGCCATCTTTTTCCACCATCAACATCCACCTAGTAATGCCACCATAACAACCCACTACAGCTTTCATCTCGTCTTCTCCAGTTCTTCACCATCCTTTCTTGCTTCAGAACTGCATTATTTAACCATTTTCCCCTAAATGGCAGTTTATCTTTGACAGACCTAACTGTTTATCTATTTATTAGTGAAATTTTCTACTCCCCTATTCACACGACATGCTTGGTTGATATGGAGATTAAGGAATTAGTTTCATTTACTTAAGAGTTTTTTAGTAAGGAAACAAAATTTTAATGGAGCAAGACATTCCAAGTTTGAGTTGTTAAATGAATTTGAACTCTTGAAATATGTTACTCCCTATGTCCCACTTTATGTGACGCACTTCCCTTTTTAGTCTGTCTTAAAAAGAATGACATCTTTCTATATTTAGAAAAAATTAAATTTAAACTTTCCATTTTACCCTAATGAAATGATTAATGGACAAAAAAATATCTATGGCATGTTTTAGACCACAAGTTTCAAGTCTTTCTCTCTTTCTTAAACTCCGTGCCCAGTCAAACACCATCATATAAGTTAGGGATGGAGGGAGTACTAGATAGTGCAATAAAAATCTGTAACATCTCAAAACAAATAGCATGGTAGTTCACTTTCATTGAGTTTTATCGACATAATTTCTGCCCTTTACCACTCATTTCATGTTGAAAGCGGAAATTTCCTGTTTGTTCTCTCTCTTACCATTCACATTGATGATATTGTAGCTTTGGTCACAACATTCAATCTCGAAATTGGAATTACTGGTGCCATTATGACAAAGCTAGATGGGGATTCTAGGGGTGGAGCAGCTTTAAGTGTCAAGGAGGTGGGTTCTTATTACTACATGATATCTGTATAGGTGATTATATTGTGTCAAATGTTAATATGATCGTTCGTTATAGACAACAAAACCATTGATTTGCTCTTTAACTGTCAAACTTTTTCATTTTGAAGTAAATTGCGATTTTGCATCACACGTATATGTTCACTACCACAGGTATCAGGAAAGCCAATTAAGCTCGTAGGAAGAGGTGAACGTATGGAGGACCTTGAACCTTTCTATCCTGACCGCATGGCTGGACGTATTTTAGGGATGGGAGATGTTCTGTCGTTTGTTGAAAAAGCCCAAGAAGTTGTAAGTAACCAACAAGTATTTTTTTCGTTTGTTTTCTTTACTTTGATTCGACTAGTTTCATTTGACTCCTTATAAATGATTTTAGATGAAACAAGAAGATGCAGAAGATTTGCAGAAGAAGATCATGAGTGCAAAATTTGATTTCAATGACTTCCTGAAGCAAACTCGTGCAGTTGCTCAAATGGGTACCATGTCCCGCGTTCTCGGAATGATTCCTGGCATGGGAAAGGTAATATACCTGCTTCTTATTAAATCTATCTCTCCATTTCTGTGTAATAAGTATTCTATGGTGAAATTCATGTTTCAATTGTTACTGTGCATACCTTGTATCAGCTATAATCCTTTCTTTTTATTTATGTGACGAAGCGGGAACAAATTCCATCTTGTTCATGCATAAACAGGTTACTCCTGCACAAATTCGAGAGGCAGAGAAGAGCTTAATAATAATGGAGTCAATGATAGAAGTCATGACACCAGGTTATTCATCTTACCTCGGGTTTCTAATAACAACATGTTGCTATGTTTAACATGACCATATACTAGTGCTGTTAGTTCAATTTGTCGCGGCTCAATTTATTGTCTTTCATTGTTTTCTCAGAGGAGAAGGAGAAACCAGAACTGTTAGCAGAATCTCCTAGTAGAAGGAAACGTATTGCTCAAGAGTCCGGGAAAACTGAGCAGCAGGTAAAATTGATGTGTTAGGGATGGCATTAAAAAGTAAATTCTATGTTGGAGATTGTTTGGTACTTCTTTGCATGCTCACCTATAACTTCATTTCCATTTGTAGGTGAGTCAACTTGTTGCTCAACTTTTTCAAATGCGTGTACGTATGAAGAATTTGATGGGTGTTATGCAAGGTGGTTCCATACCTGCACTGAGTAATCTTGAGGAGGCACTTAAAACTGAACAGAAGGTGCTTATCTTTCTACATTTTTGGCTGAAATTACTTGTTACATACTATTTATTAGAGCATGTGGATATAAATGCTATGTTTTCTTTCTCCTCGAAACTATATTTATAACAAATTAAATAAATAAAAGAATGTATGATCTTTAAGCATCTGTGAGGAACTAGCTTGATCGAAATGAGTTGATTCCTTTCAAATCACAATTTTCTGAATTCTTGTTTGATTCCTTTGTAATGCAGAAATAGATTTGCACTTATTTCATCTTATTATTTTTAACTCAAGCTGATGGTTTCGAATTGTCATCTTGTTCTGTTACTTACTCCAGGCTCCTCCTGGTACTGCAAGGAGGAAGCGAAGGTCAGAATCAAGAAAGCAATTTGCAGACTCGGGATCAACTAGACCTGGCCCTCGTGGTTTTGGGGCCAAGAACTAAAATATAGGACTATATGTCAATCAAATTTTTGAAGAGCTAGCATCTTTGACTGGCTATTTATGAGTACTCACTAGAACACAGAGTTTGAGTTTGAGTACAATTTCCAGCAAGAGAATTGTGAAGACTCTCTCATTTTATGAAAGCAGAGCAAAAAGGAAATGATTAGGTGGCCTTGGTTGGAGATAGGAGATGAAAAGAATTCCTTGATTGTAATGTAGGGAAGAGAAGTTCTTGACATGATTATAGTACATTGTATGCATTCTCAACAATGTAGTGTTATCCCCCTTCTTGTGTAACTCTTGCCTTTCTACTGTATCTACAGATTTGATTTCTTCACATATCAACCTGTGGTCTTGGATTAGAGGTGGTGAAATCAACTCATTTTTTAGTAACTCGTCCAACCCGCCCAAGTTTAAACAGTTGAGCTATGACTCATTCATTTACTTGATCGACAGGTTGAACCTAAAATGACCCAACAAATTATTGGGTCAAAACAGGTTCAATAGTGTAACCTAAGGGTTTAGAATGCAACTCAAACTCGAACATATAAAACCAAATATGAAGATTGGTAATTATGTAAATTTGGAAGAATTTAAGCGAATAATTTAAAAGAATACATTAGCTTTCACTTCTTTTTTTCAGCAAAACCAAATAAAAGAGGGCAAGTTAGCTCAACGTTGGACGAGTAGGCTTATGACCTGTTATTACCCATTTTGACCCAAGTAAACTTTGAGCGAGTTGGGCATGACGAGACACGCTTATTTATTTGACATGGGTGAAATACTATACTTTTTAAAAGACAAAACAGTAGTAGAAATTCTTAAACAAACTTCAGGTGCCATATGTTTGCTCATACAATCTAGGCCAAATACAGTCAGCCCCTTAAACTTAGACCAATTTTCACTTAAACACTTTAATCAAGAGTTGTACCTATTGAATACTTTAACTCCAATGAATGTGTGCCTATTAAGCCCTTCATAACTTGCCAGCAAAAAATATAAATTGAGTGATTTTCAAGCGCAATGACAAAGCAAAAATCACAAATGAGAGAAAACCACGTGGCTTTGATTACAATTAATCCAAAAAACACTATGAGCCAAACGAAAAAAATGGAAAAAAGAAAATCAGACCCACAACCTCCCCCCCAAACCCCGCTCTTCATCTTCAGACCCGTCCCCGCCGGCCCCCTCTCCCATTGTCTAACTCCATCATCATCTAATTACACCTTATCTCAAAAATATTTCACCAATGGTGGTTCATATTCCAACATTAGCAATCGATGCCATCAGTTTTTTCGGCAGAACTCCGATTCAGCCCACAGTAGCTCTATTAGGGATCTTTATTCAACTTAGT